AGCTTGCTGCAGGTGGGCTGTAATGCGGGCAAGCGCCCGCCCGTGCATGTCAGGATTGTCAAACTTGGGCATAAGTTGCTCTTCCATATGAGCCTAGCATCTCAAGTGAAACATCTAGAACAAGCAGAAAGATTCTTCTAATGAGAACTAAGATGCTTCTGTTGCTTTATCACCTCTTTCAAGTTTCTGTGAGAAATACAGAAGAGCCGGTCCATCAGGATGTCTGCAGAGATCTTGGATACTCTGCTGGTAACAGTGTAGTGATAATGTACTCCTTCACTGGAATTTTCTTTTAATGACTTTTGCTAGCCAAATTCCTTCCCACTTAATTTATGTTAAGAGTCTTGACACACTGACAGTTTCATATGCCTTATGTCTGCTTGCAGAAATAAGTTGGCAAATGCTCTTGGTTCTTTTTTTCTCTTCGTTTTTAATATTTTTGGTAAGGGGGGGGAGGAACTCAACTCAGAAAGAAGTAATGGAGAAAAGCTAGGTCTGCTCCAGATCTGCAGAGGAATAATACTTTAACTAATCTAGGTACTGCTTTTCAATGTGAAGAATGTGTTGTGTTTTAATATGCACGATCACTGTTATCATTCTAAAAAGACAGTGATAGTGAGTGATTGCAATGCATAGAATTTCTAGAAGTTGAGAGTCTTCACACTGTAGTAAGTCAGAAAGTCTGTAAATTGCGAAACTGCAGATGTGTAACTCTAAAGCAGGTAGAACCGGCTCCAAAGAATACGGATGTAACACTGACAATTACCGCTTTCCTTTCTATTTTCTTCTCCTTATTACAATCTAAATGTCTATACTCATACTGCTGAAAAGCTCATTTTCCTTTAATAAGGAAGAATTCTTACTGGTTCCCCCGTCCGCAACTTGCAGAGAAAACTGCCAGCTCCCTCTCATTTCAGAGAAACTGCAACGTGTCCCAGAGCTGCAGTGATGCTGGGGATCAGCGTGCCCTTTCCTCCTTGGTATGCGTTGCACCAGGGCTCTTCTTCATCCGTGCTGGCCTGTTCTTGCCTGAGGGAGCAGGAGATGAAGGTCGGGATGCGTTGCAAGCTCCCTGGGGAGGTTTGCCACCTGAGCGAAGGAAGGCAGTACATGTGCAGTACAGTGACCAGGCCTGCTTTCTGGTCAATGAAATCTGTTTAAACTTTTTGGGTTAGCAGTCCTTTTTCTCCAAGAATCTAACAAAACAACTTCAGAATCCAGAACCAGTTGTATCTTGGGGGAAAGAGGGCGGAAATAAGTGCAGCCAGTAAAAGAAACTGATTTTCATATAGCTAATAGATTGATTAGCAACTTGTTTTGTGGATTTGCAGTATTCTGTAATTGAAGCAGTGTCCTTTGTTCAACTAACTAAATGTATGAATCTCTGAAGTTCCTGTAGTTCTTGGATTCTTTGATCCTTTTACGTATGATCAGAGGTAAATATGAAGCATAACAGTTATTGTACCACATGATGGGGTGGTTTTGTTTTTTGAAGAAGTTGCTTTTGTGGTGTTCAATCTGATATTTGGAGTTTATCAGAGATTCCTATTTAAGAAATGTTCAGAAACGTCCACAAGCTTAGACCAAATAATCGATGCATGTATTGCAGTGCCCAGGAGCTAAAATCCTTTTCTTATTAAATGCTTTCTTCTCTCCATGCTCACGTGCTATTTTGCGTAAGTGGCAAACATCTAACTCTAAGCCGTAACTGCTACTTGGATGTAGTATTTGTGGTCAGTAAGTAGGAAAAAAGTTTACTGCAAAATCAAACCATTTTTCTTTTTCTAGTATTTCTGGAGCTGATTGTCAAAAACTTAAATATGGTTGGGGCTGATGCTTCTGCCTGAGGCAAGGCTAGAGGGAGGGTTTTCTATTGTTAACAAAACATTTATTAAATTGAGGGAAAACATTTAGTCACTTAGTTTCACTTCCTTTAGAATTGGTTGAGTTTATACTGTTTCTCCCATTAAATCTCAGGAGTAGGAGGGTAGCATTAAAGGTTACTTGCCAGGAGTTCTTAAGGACTTCATTCCCAGACTAGGCAAATGAGCCCAGAAGTGCAAGTGAAATGAAGAGTACCAGCAAAAAAATCTGGGGAATGTATCTGAGCCATCAATATGTGGATCAGGTTACAGATGTGCCTCAAATGCCTAATGCTCTGTAATAATCCATTTCTGTAGTACTGCAAATCTTTTTTCTTTTCAATTTCTTAAACTGCAGTAAGGCAGAAACTGGGGTTGGTTTGTAGGGTTTTTTCGCCTCTTCTACTCTTTTTAACAACTTTTGAAACGGGAATTGGGAACAGGTGAATAGATAGACTTTGGCACAATTATTAAATTCTATGTATCCCACTTGGTCTTTCCTTCCCTACAAGCTAAACATTCCCAGATTTTTCAGAGTAACTTTATTTCCCTACTACATCTGGGAACCTAATATTAGCATCTGTTCTCTTTATTAGGCACAAATGTATCTTACCTTTCGTGTCTGGTCATTATGTAGGATATTTTGCCAGTTTTCCTGAAGGCTGGTAAAATCTGCCCTTTTCTTGGTGGACTCTCATCACTCCTGTGAATAAAAGCAAGAACTTAATACTATGGTGTACTACTCGAAGAAGGCTAAGAAGGCTCCCTGGTTAAGAAAGCTGCATTCCCTGATGTTCGGGTGCCTAGCATCTGAGTGGTGCTAAACTGACTTCAGGAACTGGAGGAGTACTTGGTAACCTGCTCTAAAAAGGGCATGTTAAACACTTTCATCGGCTGCTGCTGAGGGGAGAGGCCTGGAGCGTGGCACTTCTTACAGCTCTGCTGAAAATATTCTTGTATTTCAGAAGGTAAGCTGCTTCTCTGCAGTTTACTTTTTAAGGAAAGTAAGGCAGCTTATTCTTGCAACGGAGGCCCGATTTCCTGCTGGAAGGAAAGCAGTCAGTGTTGTTATTGCATACAGTTTTCTCTGTTTCATCTTGGTTCTGCACGTGTGATCTCAACGTGCTGAAAGCCTCAGTTCCAAGGGAAAAGCTTTCATGCAAGGAAGCATTCAGAGTGCTTGGGACTACTGCGATGTTGTGCTTCTCCAGTGGAGAAGACCATGTGTTTGGCTGTTGTGCGTGTAGTTCAGGATTAGCTTTGTCAGCTGAACTGCAACATATGTTTTTTTTCTCAGCTCTGTTTTTGTTTACACTGAATTTCTTGATGAGCCAGAAGTATTTCCACATGATACTTCTGAAATTAAAATATGGTAGAGGGAAGTTGTGTTTTTTTCTGGTTTTATGTCAGAAGAAGGGATAGCTTGCTGCAATTTTGAGATGGGCAAGGCTTGATGATGAACATCTGTCTTCTGGTATATTTTTTTCTGTCTTTTAACTTGCTTTCTTCAGAAATCATGATTTTACTATCATCTTTATGGCAGAAACAGTTAGGGTTTTGTTTTTTCTTCCCCCTGACCTCCAAGTACAAGAAAGACCTCATTGCTGTACACAGTGTCTGACGTTATTAGCAACACCATTATAAAATTGTTTTTCTTGGATTTAGTTTTTTAATCTTCTGGAACAAAGCGCACTTCTGTATGAGCTGAGCTAACTAAAGCATATGTCTTCCTGGTGAAAATGAGACCATAGCCTTGCCTCTTTCAAGAGACACTAGGGAGATTGGGGTGTTTCCTGAAATGAACTTTCTGCTGCTCTTAATCCTGCATGAGCTGGATACATAAAGGCTATGATGTAATCTATATTAAGTATTGATGGTTTTGTTATAACTGTCAGTACTGTCTGTTAAAATCTGTACTTTTTCTGTTTGCCTTTCCTGACCTGTCATCTAGCTTTCCCTTTTGCTGCTCTTTAGTACTTCAGCATTGGCATCAATCAGACAAAACAATGTATTAATTACTTCTGGGGTACCTGGATACCATAAAGACTGCAGGTGTAAATAATAAGGCTTTTGTCTTTTATAAGTTCTGTGATGAGTTTTCTTTCAGGGGAAGAGAAGCTTAGGTAAAGGGTTTATTGTGGGCATGTTTGAAGTTTCCATTTGAAGTGGCATATTAGATAAAGCTAAAACTTTGATTCTAGATCTTCCTTTAAGAGTCAAGGGGAAAATACATGTGGTTTCTCTCTGCATCCATTTTAACAGTTTGTGAGAAAATAAATGTAGTCCCTTTGCAATTCTTGAGAGCTTGCTCTACTTTTAGGTCAGAAAGGAATTTAATGGAAGACAATTAAAAGATGTTTGGCAAAATAATCTTAGGCCATGTCACAGTTCTTTGTATAAAAAAGCAGAACTGTTTTTCAAATGTTTGACAACTTGGTCAGTGTTCCAAATGTGTTATTTCTTTATGTAGTATCGTAGCAGAGCCAGTACACAGCAAAGCCTTTTTCGTGTCTTAAACACTTAAAAGTTAGGTTGGTTTTGCTTCTCTTTCACCTCTTGTGCCAATATGTAACAGGCCTACTCTCACTGTTTGTTTATTTGCATAATTCCTCCCATATACAGAGAGTCCTAAAACATAATTTTACATACTACTTTTTATGTACAGCAGTGGTTATTGACATCTGCAATTACTTGTTTTTCTTTTTCTGAAGTGTTTGCTCTGTGAAACAGTTCCTTTTACCCAAATTGGAGTTGGAATGTCTTGTAGAAAAAAAAATACAAATTGGATTGTTTGCTAAAGTTAGAAGCCTTTCCTTCTTTCTTGGGAAAAAGTTGTACAGATAGTTCCAGACATGGCAGAGAACAACCAGTCTTAAACTGTGAATCCTCCTGGAAAATAGTCATCATCTCTAACATGCTCCACAGGAGATTTTAATCTTGTAAAGTTTGCCTTAGTGTTCAGTTTGGAGTTCAAATTTAGGAAATGTTAGATTCCTACATGCTGAGTTGCTCTTGGTACATCCAGCCTTACCCCACTTAGTATTTCTACTACTTAAGAATTAAGTTGTGCCGATACTTCCTTCATGAAATCTTCTAAAGAAGCTGGAAGGCTTACTGCTGTATTCTTTTTCACATACAGGCTCGTGTTATGTATGATTTTGCTGCTGAGCCTGGAAACAACGAGCTGACCGTCAGTGAAGGCGAGATCATCGTAATTACCAACCCGGTAAGAAAAATGGGGTAGAATCAAGGTTTTAGTGCACTTCCCCGACCTACTTCTAGCAGATGGAAGAAAAAAGGTGCTAGGTGACATCTGAAAGACCTGGCTACCCTCCCCTGAAGAATTAGCAAATAAATTAAATACAAAGAATTTTCTAATAGTTTTGTGGAAACAAATGCAGTGAGCAGTTTCGTGGGACAGGAGCCCTCTCAAATTGTGCCTACGAACTTGGGAATTTGCTCAGCTTTCTTCCCCTCTAACTAGCACTCAGTGCCAAGGCAGAGGAAGGAGCTAATGATGGTGATACCCTTTACATCTGAATGTGTTCTCTTTTTGTGTGTGCCTCAAGTTCCACGTTTTGTGTGTATGTAATCTGTCAGGTGCTTGCCACTTGCGTTTAAATCTGACATGCCAACTCCCTTCTCCATTCTGAGCTTCTTAATCAATGGCTTCAGCATTCGAAGTTTGTTCAAAAAACTTGCGACAAAATTTGTTACTAAATTTGTGTGTCCTTTTGTAATTAAAGCAATATGGACAAGGTACAGGGAAGGAGTGGTGAAAATGGTAATGGTATGGTAATACTATTGGGAAGTTCTTAAATTAGCAGTACTTTTGAGCACTGACATTTGATTTGCATATTCAATTTGAATTTGAGTGCATGTTTATTGTCCTGTATAATTCTTACCCTTGGTAACAAGGTAAGTGTTAGTTGAGTCTGCTTTTGATTTTTGTGTAGTGATACAGCTCAGTGAAAAGACTTTCCTTTTAAAACAAGTACAAACAAAAACATGCCTGATCTTGATGCCAGATTTTATTTGTCTGATTATGTAGGACACATGGGTTCTGCAGAATCAACTAATTCTTTGAAAAGCCTAATAATGTATAATCCTAGTAACTTTTAGTTCCACTGGCCTTATATATTTGAAGGAGATACTTGATAGAACCAGCACCCTGTTGGATAGGATGCTGTGCTGTGGCAGAGGTAACATTTTAAATGAGTTCAGGAGATCAGTGCTGTTTCACAGAAGTAGGACTAAATAAATAGTTTACCATTTTTAAGCTGGTTCTTGCTCAATGAGACATCTGTGTGTTAAGGCAATGTACTTAAAACCAAGTAAAAATTTAGTTTATGGTGTCCATGATAAAACTGTGGGATAGATTGCCACAAAGGCTTTTGATCTTTTTTGATATGTAAGTTTAGACTGCAGTAGTACAAGTTCTGAAAGTCCATTGATGATTGCTCTTAAGTGCAGTGGTGCAAATGTGACTTATGGCTCAAGATGTCATTGCTCTTGCAGTTTAACCAAGCCAGTTGAATTTATAATCGAGATTTCTAGTTGTTTCTGTGTTCTTGAGTGTAAGCTTTTAGGTACATAACAAACTTTCATTTGCTTTTTCTTATTTGTGAAAAAACAATTACACCCATTAAAAAGCAAGTTAAGAAAACCTGAAATTCATTAATTGCTGTCTAGCATGTGTGGTTCCAGTTTTCAGCTGTGAGTTGGCTTGACGTGTACTATGTGTTCAAGGAACAACTTGATTTAAAACAGAACTGGCTTGTTCCAGATAACGTTGTCCTGGAATTGACTTGACTTAACTGGACAGCTCTGCAAAGGTTTCTTAGTATATGTAGAATATGTGGTTTTAAAAAAAACAACACCAAAAACAAACAGTAACAGGATGCCCCACTCAGCTGAGCTGTGTTAGTTGTTTCCAAACTAGTAGCATGAGACCTGCCTCTGAAATTAAATGTAAACTAGAAGGAGTGTCTCCAGATCTTGCATGGCATGTGCCTCTTTATTAAGGATAATCTCAAGATTTTCTTGTGGGTTATAGCTGGCACTCATCACACACCTCTGCACCTTCAATAAGCAAAGGAGAGATTTTACAGAGGTTGCCAATGGCTTAATTCCTTGATTCTTGTTTCTTTATAATCTGTTGATTACAATTAATGCTTTGGAATTGGCATACTAACAGCTGTGTTTTGATGCTGCCTGTGCCCAGATGATTGACTCTGGTTTCATAAATGATCAGAATTGCTGAAAATCGACCTTCTTCCCCCTCACGCTTGTTAAATCTAAAGTCCACCATAGCTGTGTGAAGCAAGCACAGTCTGTGTTCTGTTTAAATGAGTATCTGCTGCTTCAGCAGATTTAAGTGAGTTTGTTCATAGTCATACAGTCATAACTGTATTTCAAACATTGCGTTTGACAGCAAGATGGTGCTTCCTCCTGAGTTCTTCAAAGCATGCTGCGCGATCCATCTAGCTAAAAAGTTTCTATATTGTTACTTCTTTCAGGATGTTGGTGGAGGCTGGTTAGAAGGAAAAAACAGCCAAGGTGAGAGAGGACTTGTTCCAACAGATTACGTTGAGGTAAGTGACTACACTGCTCTGCAGTAAGAAAGCAGAACTACTGACAAGGCCATCCTCTGGTTTGATGATCAGACTGTAATGCTCAAACATAAAAACTCCAGTGTTAAAGCTTGGAATGTATAATCTTACTGTAGCAACTGTAGCTGGCTTTGGAGACCAGTGCAAACATGCCATCCAAAGCTACTGTGCTTCTTAGTGGTTTTCGTAAGAAATGCAACAGGAGGTTGTGGGTAGTAAATACTGGTGATCTGCAGATAACCAGCGCTATTTCGAGTCTGCCTCTGGTTTGGGGGTCTCGTGATCCAGTAATTGTTTTGTTTTCCTGTCTGAAGATACAGATCCGGAAAGTGAAATGAGTAATGCAGGTTTACACTGGTGCTGTGGCTGATTTGCCGCATGCTTATAAATCTCTGGAATGGAACCCCATTTCTGGGGCTCAGGATATGGGATCCCAAATCCAGGGACTACTCAGCTCATTTTCCTGAGGGCCTTTGCTGTCTTTTCAGTGTGTGTTAATCTGCCCTTTCTTTAAAGACTGGTTGTATGTGGTTGGGGATGAATGGGGGATCTCAATGCAAAGACTGGAATCCAGTTCCCTCTTGGAGAGCCCATTGTCTGTATGTCTGCAGGTTGTCAGTTAGGTGAAGACTCTGGCTCTAATTCCTGCAGCCTCCTCTTAAGGCATGTGTCTTTCTTCCTTCACCAGTGCTGTGTTTATTTAAAACAAACAACGGGGTGGAGGGAGCATGTTTGTTCACATAACCTTGTTTTTTTGTCTTCAGTTGGGCAGCTCATGGTTTAGTAGCTTTTGGCTCTCCAAACTTGCTGTCCTGGTCTGATCCTCCAAGTATTGAGTTCCCAGTCTCCAAGCAGTAATGTTAACAACCTTGTTAATCCCCAATGAATTTGTAGTTAGGTGTCCACTACCACAACAGTCTTACGTGTTATGCTATGATAATGCAAACCAGTTCCATCTGTTGTGGAAGTAAATCTTCCAGATTCTCACGTCAGCTTCTTGGGAAAGGTACTATTCCATCTGAATTCAAGAAGGGTAAATGCAACCATCTTAACGGCTAGTGACATGAATGTTATGCTGTTTATCGTATATAATCATCCTAATTTGATTAGTAGGAGCATGAAAAATCTTTTGCTACTATTTCCATTTCAGATTATAACCGAAGGTGCAAAAGATGGAATTAGCTGCGGTAATTCATTAGCTGACCAAGCCTTTTTCGATTCCCTTTCTTCAAATACAGCTCAGACCAACGCTGCTGCAAAAAGCAGTAATCAGGTATGTCTCCATTTTTTTCAGGCACAGTGGGGGCGTGGCAGGTTCTGTTAAAAGAACTGCTTGCACTCTGCAGTTGTGCTATACCATATTTGTGAACCCTCATAGAAGTACTATTTAAAGTACTCGTGTTTTCATTCGGGAACGCTTTTGTTGAATAGTAATGATATGGGTGCCTGTTCAGCTGCTGTCCCTGCTGGAAAAATGAGTATCCTAACACTTTCAAAAACAGAGCATTTTTGTCCTTTCCAGCCTACAATCATATAAATCTGTGACTACTTCAATCTCTGTTTGTACATCAGTTCTGTATAAATGCACTCTTACCAAATTTACTTTATTTTCAAGTTCCTTGTGTTAGTATGCTAACCTTTTTTAGGAACTATAACTTTTTTATTTTAAAATGTCTACTACAATTGGGTGGTCCATGCATCATTAGCAGGGTGACTGGATATATAGAGAATTTGAGTAAGAGTTGTTTCTTGGATTAAAAAAGATGAAGCAAGTTCATGCATTGTCCCTAGTCAGTTACAGAAGAGGCTGACTTTGGTTTTGCTGAAAGAATGTTTTTCTCTCCACCTCCTCCCCCCTCCCTCCCCCCTTATTCATTGCTTTTTGCCCAGCCTGTCAGTTGATTAAGCAGCAAGTATTTAGGTTAGATATCTGAAAGCATACATTATCTTAAATGCAGGCTGTTTATTATGGTCTACAGGCTGCTGCATGTCCCACATAGAAGAACAGTTAAACATTTCAAAGTCCGCAGGTCAACAGAAGAACAACTGAAGAACAAAATCTACTTTTCCCAACGTTGCTTTGCATGCAAAGGTCTCGCGTGTTGGAAAGTAAATGCTTTACTCATCGTAGCAGCCGGGGACATAGACCTGGTTTGTGGATCGGTTAAATATCAGCTATTAGTTTTCTTAATTGTAACTTGCAACACAGGACTTTGACACGAAGTGAGATCTCTTGAAAACTGTACGTGGGCCATTTTTATATGACAGTGAATGTATAGTGTTTGATTGGTGCTTCCTTGTATTCAGCTAGACAATGCCAGGATTATGATTCTGTGATCACATGTATAGTGAGAGCTCCAGACCTCACTGTGACTGTTTCCCCGTTTATCAGTAATTTTTTTTAAAATGCCAACTTAATATTTAGGCTAAACACAGAACTCTTGAAGTGCCTTAATTGCTCTTGTCAGACTGAGCCAAAAGCATTGATAATAGTTTCATGTTTCCCTCGGTAAAACTTACAGTAATTTTGAAGGTAGAGTGGGAACCCCATTTCTTCCGCTCTGTCTGTTACCCTTGCTCCATTTTTTCCTGTAGTTTCTAGCCAAACTTTACTTATGAGTAAGCTTGAAATATTTTCAGCAGCTACTTCTGTCAAATCCGAATACTGTTTCTACTCTGAAGGAAGAGAAACATATCACTTAGTTTGACCTAGGAAAAATTGCTTACTAACCAAATGAATATACGGTACTTCGAATGGTGGTAGACGCAGCTATTGGAGGTTGATCTGTACTTAACAGAAGGTACTCGTGCCTGGAGAAGGGAAGTAAAAAGCCCTTGTCTATATATGAGGAAAGGTTAAAATAAAGTTACCTACTATATCCTAAATACCAGGGAATTATTATGGCAATGTAGTTTTGGAAGTTGCATTTCTAGAGGAGGGAAAAGCTTGAAAACATGGTCACTTCACAATACAGTTTACACCAGATCAGCAGTGCACTAGCCCTGTAATACAGAAAAATTGCAGTTTCTTCTTATCAAATTTTGTAAGGGAGTAACTTCAGGTGAACAGCTTGACTCATGTCTTTCAGTGCCTTACTCTTGTAAGTGTCCTATTCCTCACCATTATCCTTCAAATGCTGTGAGACATTTGGGAGAACCAGGGTACCGTAGTGTATTATGGTAAAACTGTACTGCTAACGTTGATAGGAGGGAGAGGGGAGGAGAGTGTGCACCTGGGTGCACCCAAGGCCATGCAAGGTGCGGGGGAAGCAAATTCCCTCAGGCAAGTGTGTTTGGGTCTTTTGCTTTCCTGTTTTGTCATAGCAGGAACCATCCTGTTGCAAGGTCAGGATTTTATGTCATAAGTTATTTCCATTTTCTCAATTTTTTTTTTCTTTAACTGACTTCAGTAATTGCAGTTTAGTTATATATATTTTCTAGAAAAACAGCAAATCTTGTTTTGAAGACTAGTTTCTTCAACTTCTGACATACATCTGGTAGTTTGTTCCAGTGGCTTATTGCTAATAGGAATTAAATTTGTATACTAAGCAGTCTGGCTTCCATTTTCAGCTCTTAGGCCTTTCTCCCGGATGAGAGAGCTCTCTAGTGCATGGTATTTCCTCTTTGCTAAAATTCTGTGGCTAATTGTCCTCCTGATGAAGAAATTCTGTTTGTTGTATCTGTCTGGTGTAAGACACTTTTCCTGCCCTCAAAAAAAAACAACCCTTCTTCTATGGTCTCTTTGATCTTGTGACTTGTCTATAAAACGTTTGTTGCTCCTGTGTACATTGCACGATGTCAAACAGGTTTAACATTGCTGTTCTGGTGTAGAAAAGCCTGATACAGTGAAAGACTGTGCCGAGTCCTATATTACTGCATCAGGAGGTTATACTGAGTTGCTCATCCCCTGCATCCTGGCTTCTCTTTTAGAGCCACTGCTTACAAGAATATGATCTTCTACTTTATGGGTATGACCCTTCTTCCTACATGTGTTACTCTGCATTTGGTTATGATAACATTTATGTTGTTTAACATGAGTTTGCTCAGGCACTTTGGATTGATCTGTGTGCATATGCAGGGTTGCAAGCAATTGACTTACTCTTTTCACGTGCCTTAATGAATGACTAGGTCAAAATACAAAGCACTTCATCTTAAACTAAACTTGTGTATTTAGGCTATGGAGAGCAAAAAAAAGAATAACACCAGTTAGGTGTCCATGTAAAGAGAATTGATGATGGAGGTGGCACAGTAGTGGGAACTAAAATGTTTGTAAATGTACTCTGGTGGACTGAATAAGAAATAGGAGCATTTCTAAATGCTGGTGTTTTATGCTGTCTGTTATATTTTACGGTGACAGGGAGGGTACGAGTGTATTACAAGAAGACTTTATAAAAGTGCGTCTGTATTAACAGGATGTTTGGGGATTTTTCTTAGTACTACTGTACTAAGAAAAATTACTTGCTATAAACATTAAGTCACTTTAACATACATGTAATTATACAACATCCTCACCTACCAATTTCGGTAAGTCAAAAGATGTTTTTAATTCATAAATTCCTTCCATTCTTCTAAGAATAAGTAAAAAAGCAGATTGATGCATAGTCTTTCAGTACCATGCCATATTGAAAACAACAGATCTGGCTGAGTTGAAATGTGTGAGTGGGGGTTTGGTTTTCTTTTTTAAAAGACTAGTTAAACCACAATGGTGTGGTTTAACCCTGGCTGGCAGCTCAGCCCCATACAGCCACTCGCTCACTCACACTCGGTGGGATGGGGGAGTGAATTGGAAGTGTAAAAGTGTGAGAACTCATGGGTTGAGATAAACACAGTTTAATAGGTAAAGCAAAAGCCACGCAAGCAAAGCGAAACAAGGAATTCATTCACCACTTCCCACCAGCAGGCAGCTGCTCAGCCATCTCCAGGAAAGCAGGGCTCCATCATGTGTCACAGTTGCTTGGGAAGACAGATGCCATTGCTCCGAACATCTCCCCTTCCTCCTTTTTCCCCATAGTGCTTATTGCTCAGCACGATGCCATACGGCGTGGGGTATCCCTCTGGTCCGTTGGGGTCAGCTGGCTGTGTCCCCTCGCAGCCTCCTGTGCATCCCCAGCCTGCTTGCTGGTGGGATGGGGTGAGAAACAGAGAAGGCCTTGATGCTGTGCAAGCACTGTTCAGCAGTAATTAAAATACCCTTGTGTTACCAACACTGTTTTGGTCACAAATCCAAAACATAGCCCCATAGTAGCTACTATGAAGAAAATCAATTCTATCTCAGTCAAAACTGGTACAACCAGTTATATTTGAATGCAAACTTTGTCTATAACTTATTTTTCTGTCTTAGTTTTATTTTTGAAGTTCTGAACTGGTTAGCTTATCAGTTTAGAAATAAATCTCAAATGGCAGTGTGCTTCTGACAGGGCTTCAAAAAATTTCTGACAGATTTATTTTTTAGCTTTATACACTATATTTTCACTGGTATACCTTCATATGCCCTGATAGGTCTGGGGAGATGACTGTTTTTCTTGAGTAGCAATGCTGCATGTAATGCAGAACCCTAAGTCGTTACAGTTTTCCCAGATCAGTTTCTGTTCATGCATATCTCTCTCTCAAAATTAAACTGACTTACTCCTCCTGTCTACATCAATCCTCTTCTGCTTTCCAGGCAAACAAGAGATTTGTGCTTTCGTGCTCTGGAACCTGTAACTTCTTGGTGTTAAGAAAAGTTTGTCGGCTCAAACACTGCCCTACTCCCTGTCTGTCCTAGAAGAATTTTTATTGGTTCTGATCAGTAAATAATCTCCTGAAAAGTAATTAATAAGCAGTAACTAAAGGCAGCTGCTCTTACTTCCTTTTCTTCACTGAGAAAGATATGATCACAGCAGCACTTTGGTTTTATAGCTTACCTGGGTTTGCCACAAATGTAAGGAGACAGTAGAAGAGGGGCACAGAGGTACTTCTGAAGGAGAAGAGAAGCACTCCATATGACCCTTGGCAGTTTGCTCTTCCACAACTTGTTACTTGCATCAGTAGTGTCCAGCAGTAGCTGCCTTGGTAAAGCTTGCAGCTGCTGCTTTAAAGAGCTACCTGAAGAAGATATTGGGGATATGAAAGCAATCAGAGGAAGCAATGAAGCTAATTATACACAAACAAGGGAAAAAAATTACTGAAGTTTACTCTTTTTACACTCAGAAGAAGAAAAGCAGACAGGAGAATTTAAAGTTACATCTGCTTGTAATGTTTTGTGGTTTAATGTCTAAAAAGTCTTTAAAAATT